CCTGTTGGGATTTAAGAAAAAAAAGATTTGTCAAGGGCTGCAAAAATATTCTTAGCATTTCTTTTTCTCCCTTGGCTTCAAAACCCCAGTAAGCACTGTGCACTGAAGCCCTGGTAGATGTATCATGCTCCTTGTTGAGGGAGAAAAGGATCCCTGAGGTGAAAGTGACTAAAATAATTTTTTTATATAAACCCACAGATATTAGTATACATTGGACCAAGCCCAAAGACATACAGGTGACAGCTCATTTGATGACAGTATCTTCCATAGTATTTCAATAAGTATTTTGAAGTTTTTGTGTATTTTGCAATGTGAAAGTGCATATATAGATAGTAGATATGAGTGTAGAGCCTCACTGCTAAGGCACATGCTCAATTTGCCATATGCAGTAATTCTTCTGAAATTTCTCAATAACCCCAGACACAGCCTTCCCCAAAACACTTTTACAGATAATATCCAATCTTCTACAGAATGGTTCAATGCAATAACTCTTTTCTGCAATAATACATGAAAAATGGTGTAATAACATGTACGAGTGCTTCCATCTTATGTATCTGAAGTTTGTGTTGTCAAAATTCTAGCTCAGATATTTGGATCAGTTTGGAATACCAAATGCACAGAAACTTTCAGCATCTTTACATAAAATATGACCAACCATCTCTGATCACAAAAAACAAACCAAGCCAAACAGAAAACCCCCCAAACAATTAACATCCTACCTCTATTGCATATACATAGAATATGTGACTATGGTGTACTGAAGCAATTTTCATCATTTTTAGGGTAACCTATATGTTCTTTAATGCTCCAAAGTAATTCCAATCTCATGTCAAAAAAAAAATAATCATTTCATAACTTCTCTGAGAAAGGTTCCTGATTTTACTTAGGGCCTTCTGGAGAAGACTGTAGGTGCTGCTACCTCTATTGCATATACATAGAATATGTGACTATGGTGTACTGAAGCAATTTTCATCATTTTTAGGGTAACCTATATGTTCTTTAATGCTCCAAAGTAATTCCAATCTCATGTCAAAAAAAAAATAATCATTTCATAACTTCTCTGAGAAAGGTTCCTGATTTTACTTAGGGCCTTCTGGAGAAGACTGTAGGTGCTGCAGTAACATAAAAAAAAAAATCATTTAATAACTTCTCTGAGAAAAGTTCCTAATTTTACTTAGGACCTTCTGGAGAAGACTGTAGGTGCTGCAGTAACATAAATTAAGAGTAGGAACTGTGAATGAGTTTTAGGTGACACTGAACTCTTTCAAGAGTTCATCTTAGATAAACATTTAGCACATCATGCTTATGTAAAGCTATCTGTTCAAAAACTTCCTCCTGGATACAGCTGCTCCATATTACACATCTCTGATTTATGCTAGCATAGGTTAAGACAAATGATCACTGTACAACTGCTGGGAATTAGGTTGATTCAGATTATTTTACTGTAAGTTCTTGACTTTTGCAGACTTTTGATTGAGCTCTCAGATGGTTTGCCTTCCAGACAATTGCCTGGATGAGATTTTGGAGGCAGGTGTTAACTGTGGAAACCTACTTAGCATTAAACTTGCTTGTCTGTTGCTACTGACTTTGGAGACGATACTTTTATATATTTTTTTTCTGGTCATTGTCCTTCACAAAAGGCCTAATTGAAAATATCTGTCAAATCATGTCTCTGGTTTCCCTCTTCTTCCCCCGCCCCTCCCATTAATTGGACACCTATTGTGTTTGTGTGGGAAGGAAGGAGGCTCTATGGCAGTATAGCAATATTGCTGGGAAAAGAACATTAAAATGGATAAAGGGATTTCCTAGTGGTATAAATACCTGCACACGACCTCCCTGTGCTCTGGATCCCTCCTGTATATGTATATGCAGGTAAAAAGCCTGGAATAGACTTTGAGCTGCCATTAATTTCACGGGATCTGTTCTGTTAGAAAACAGGGGACAAGAGGCTCTCTTGCCTGTTGGAGGGTATGAGTTGCCAAGCGTTCAGTTCATCTGACACCTTTGTACCCTTGAATTCTGACTCTTCTCCCTCTCTGCCTCTGATAATGCATCACAGCGCCGCAGAGTGCCTGCAGGTCTCTAACCATGCCACCAATGTTGTGTCTACAGGTACTTTTTAAAAATAATCTTGCTCTCAATAACTCTGATTTGTAATGCTTTTGGATGATACATGTTCATCAAGTTCTGCAATAGTTAAAGTGTTTGGTGTCAGTGCTATGTGTGATTTGGACTATGTTAAAGTAGAAGCAATTTCACAAAACTCTGCATATGAGTGAAACGGGAAAACCACAAATGTTTGTGTTTTAGCTAAATACATCACTTTCTCTAAGTTTGTTACAAGATTAGGTTCAAATAGGCTACCAATGCACTAATTTAGGACAGGTTCAAACACTGTCACTGTTGCTATGACTGTATGGTCTTCAGTGATAAGTGTCATGTAAATTTATTAAAAGTTTGTTTATTATGTAACCACAATTTAAAATAATATTAACTACTTTAAAGGGGAAATATATTTAAAACAGGTCAGGTTTAAATATCACTTGTGGAAGCTTTAAGGAAGGAAAAATTGTGCTTTGCAAAGCATATTGCATACTGAATCAAGCTCAAGATTTAAGTGGGATGTTCAAAATTGATAGTAGAAGCTTTGTCAATATTTTTGAATTTTGTGTGTTTGTGTATGTAATCCAATTAGTTGCCTGTAAATACTAGGACTATGTAAACAGTGAATTATCTGAGACAAAGAGAAGGAGAGTTTTCTTGCAGCCTTAAAATTGCAGAAGTGGGATTCTGGAATACAGGAATTGTTGATGGAAAGCTTTCAGGAACAGAAAATCAAGTAGTTTGATTTATTTGAAATTGCATTAGGGTAAGAATTTTATTCAGAGTCTTAACAAGAAACTAGTTTTCTCCTGAAATGCATTGGTAATAAAACATCCTAATAAAAGGAAAAAACATGTAAGTAGTGAAAACTGATCATTGGTAATAGATAATAGGAGCTTATATATTAAGTTAGAGGCTCAAAGTATCCTAATATGGCTATTGGTTAGCAATAGTAGTAGGGAATATGTGAATTTAAATTTTGTATGAGGTCAGATTTATGTATCTGTATCATGGCAGTATTTTCTAGATTTGTCTGACTTGTAATAAAAAGTACATGATGACAATCAGCCAAAAGCATTTACTCACCTGCTTCAGGTTCAGGTTTTATATTTTGTAGTTGCCACCCAAGGACAAATGCCACTGCAACCGCTAGAAATTTTGATTGCAAGATCAATTCTAGCAAATGACCCTGTAAAAACACGTCTAACCCTGTGAAAAAATGGGAAAAAATGACCCTGTGAAAGCAGTGACAGAGGGTGCTAACTATAATGAGTAAAGATTTACAAATTTCATACATAGATTCAGAAATTGTAATAAACAATGTCAGTCTGGTGAAAGCATCTAAGGAGAATTTGTGCACAATATAACAGTGAAAGAATTTTGAATAATAACTTATTTTAAATTTTTTGAAACACATGTAACAATTCTACAGCACTAGAGAGATGAATATACTTCTGTTCAAATACAATGCCATGTCATTCAGCTGATGTTCATCAGTGTTTTCAATACTTTAATAGTTATTATTTATTTACATAGCATTGCCTTCACTCTTTAATTTTATACCTTTATTAGCAGGTTGAAAATTATTATTTTATGAATAAAAATTATAGTCTGTGGATCACGAAATAATTGAAAAAAACAACCAGTAAACACTTAGGTCTTACTTCAACAGAAATGTTGCATCCCTCTACATGAATTAGAATTATTAATGCAAGCTTTAATTCCAGTGCATTTATATTAGTATAAACATGTTTGTCTTAGTGATTTTAGATCTGTATAAGTGTATCTAAAGAAGACACTTTACTGTTATGATTACTGTAATAAAAACTAGAGATTCTAATCCCTAATTAATTGTACTATTTTGAACAACTGGAATGCGTTCTCTAAATTGCAAATTTACATGTCTGAATGTTCATGAACATTAATTTTTAATATTATGTTTTATAGCAGTTGTTAGAGGGGACAGTATATGCATTTTTATTCGTACCTATATGTAATAAACAGCCGTATCTCTCATTTTGCATTCAGTAAAAAATGGTCTAATTCTTCAGGCACTGGCTATTACTGAGCACAGACCTGAAATACCCCTGTGAGAACACTAGAGATAAATTTATTGTGTGTTTGTTGCTTCTGGTGATGGAAAATGTTTACTTATGCCTAAGATTTTAGAAAAGCCCATAATCTGTTGTCCTGTTTCCCTACCACTTTGCCAAAGCACTCAAATGTGGTTTTTTGTGGCTTGGCACTTAAAAAGTTGTGACTTCTGGATGCCTCATAACAAATGTCCCAAACTGCTGTCTTTGGAAACTCAGGTCTTAGGCATGCATAAAATACTGCCTTCCTTGCTGTCTTTGTGCCCTGTGGGGTTTGCATGGCAGCGAAGGGGAGCAATTTTCTGAGAAAATAGAATTAGTTTTTATGTAAGACTGAATGAAACAGTGTGTGGAAGTTGTGTGAGGAGAGAGACCAGTCTCCTCCTTGAGAGTTCAATGCTTTCCTTGTTCAAAAGTATGTGTCAACCAGGTTATGCCCATAGATTATAATAAAAACAATGCATCAAGACCACAGCATGACAATTTCTTTTCTTGGTTGAGAGGGTACCTCTGTATTTATACTGGCAGTTTTACCTGCTGTGACCTGGCTAACTGTCTGGACTTGCAGAGTTAAATGCTTGCTGAATGCACACTGAATCTGTGCACAAGGGCACTGTCTGCCTGAATTTAAAGGCTGTGTCTTGAATCCTCATATGTTTTCTTACCAGTCCCATCTGTTTTGTCTTTGATCCAAATTTGTATATGCTTTTGTATCCACTTTGCCATGACAACGCTGGGACACACGTTGGCAGGACTTCATTACTCTGTGCCCTCATGTCATTATGGAAATCAAACATCTACCTATGGGGTGATGGCAGGTAAGACACCAACCCTTAACTGGCTGAGCTATTACCATGTTGATTTTAGTCAGTTTTCCTTTAGAGGGACCAATCCAATACAATTGTTTAAAGAAGACAGGATGTGGATTAAGGCACTAGAAAAAAGGTTAGGCATTTAGGAGTCAGTGCCCAGTGTTTCCCCAAACCTCTGCATCTCTTGTGAAGTCACTGTGTGTCTCATGTCTCTCTACAAGACTAGGGAAATGCTGCTCTTTTTGCTCACCTATGTCCACTTCCCATGGTGATTATGACTTTTTGAGGGACCAGGAGTGACATAACCAGTATATCTGTGTACAACCAGTATCTGGACTGATGAAGCCCTGGCTGAAACTATAAATAAAATGATGCCAGACTGAAAGGATAGCTAAATGCTATAACCAGTATATCTGTGTATTACCAGTATCTGGACTGATGAAGCCCTGTCTGAAACTATAAATAAAATTATGCCAGACTGAAAGGATAGCTAAATGCAGCAGCCAGATCATACAGATGATCATGGATTTTTATGCTTATGAATGTGCTAGCATCCTGCTCATTTTTCCATGTCCTAGGTTCAGCAAGAAAGAGGAACTGTTATTCTATGCAAGTTCAAGTAGTCAATGAAATAATGACACGAGCCAAATTAACACAAGTCCCAGGAAATAACTGTGACTTGGAGATAATCCAAATTCAAACTCAGCATTTTATTTCATTTAAGAATGAAGGAAATATTAGAGCAAGTCAGCATAGATTAATACAGCTGCATAGGGACAGTGTAGGTTTCCTTCACAGGGTGCAAATGTCCAAGTGCTCCAATTCTGTTGTGCATTTGTGTCTTTTACAAACATTGCTGACACTGTTCAGATCCCTAGGAAAATTAGTAGGTATTAAAATGTATTGCTCAGAAGTTAATTTTCTTTCATTCCAAAATAAATACATCTTTATTCTATTTTTTTTTTTTTTTTTAGGCATCAAGCCTGCAACTCCAGAGATGCTCTCAGCAAGCCTCTCCCAGACTCGCATCTTACAGACATGCAGCATGCCCCATCCCAATGTAGTAAACAGTGTCAGCACCTTGCAAAGCAAGTCCTCCTTTTTAAAGTATTTTTTCTTTATCTTTTGAGAAAATATTTTCCTTTTTTATTTTTCTTCTGTGGTTTTCCTGTATGAAGTGTATAAAATAATCCTATGGGATTAGAACCTCCAGCACTGATGAGAGCAATCAGGGCAGCGAAGACAACCCTAACTTTAATAAATGAAGGAAGCAGTGGGAGGTTAATGAAGTTCTGAGTTCTTCTACAAAGTTTTATGTAATTTAGAAAATTAGGAAGGATGCCCTAAAAACCTAGAATTTACTGGCTGTTCAGATACACTGAAAAGGGTTGATATTTCTCCAATGATTCCTCCCACCCCTCCTTTAGGTCAGAGACTCATTAGCTCTGTGTCCAATATCTAGCAAAAAAAACAGCCTCTTAACTGAATGTCCTTGTTAAACCTGATATTTGTGAATAAAAAGTAGTGTAAGATCTGTTTTGTCCTTGAAGGATGTCTTTTTAAGCCAGAAAGATCATACTGAATGTGTTCTGGCTTTTGTGTTTTTCTTCTTTGAGCTCTTGCCTGTCTACTTTTCTCAAAGAAATTTTGTGCTGAAGCTAAGCCAAGATAATAACTTATCTGAACATCAAATTGTATTTGCATGGAAATATTCTTCACACCAGAAAACAATGACTGGCAAATTTAAGATGGCTCAAAATAACATAGATCCATCAATCTAACTGTGCCACTTAATTCCAGTTTAGACCTTGGATTTTTATTTGTTTAAGTTTAGACCATTTACCATTTTGTTTAAGTCTTTCATAGTTTGTTAACTAGTAGAATGGCTGTGGCCACTGAAAGTGGCTCTTGATCGGTTTTCTTGTGTTGGGACAATAAAGAGACTGTATCTACTAGGAGATCCTCACTCTTGGATACTTTTACCTATGTTTATATAATAAATATTACAGACATGGATTATGAGATGGTGAAGGGAGACTTTTATTGTGTAGTGGTAGAGAATAACTGTACTGAGCTTTCTCTTTGGTGTTGCTCAGGTAGTCTGACCCCTTGCCTTTATAAATTCCCGGAGCATGCCCTGAGTGCCAGTTCCTGTGCCCTGGGCCACGGCTTCACACCCATGCACCAGTCCCTCCTCACAGATGACCCCACCACCACAGACTTCAAGCAGGAGTTCCGCAGAAAAAGCAAGTCTGTCGAAGACCCCATCGACATGGACTCCCCTGAAATCAGAGAACTGGAGAAATTTGCTAATGAATTTAAGCTGAGGAGAATTAAGCTGGGTATGTGCTTTATGTCCGTGAACAAAAGGCTGAAAAATTCCAGTGAAAGCCCATTTACTTCCGAGTGTTTTATGGTCTGGCCTCTGCAGTTGTCTGATCATAACTCTAATCGTGCCTTGCATTGCCAAACTTTTTCCATTCCTAGAAGACTTGCATGGAATTAATTAACTTCAGCTTTCTGCAACTTAGTATGCAAAAAGGGACTTTAAACTTTCCTGCCCTTAAATTATTTGTCTTAAGTGCAGAGAAAATTATTGCTGTTCAATAAATTACATTCAGTAGCAGACGCAATATTTTGCACAGCTCCAAATTATCTGCAGCTGAGGGCAGCACATGCTCTAACCTCTCATACCCATCCTCCTCCCCATGAAGTTGTTTTATCTGATGGTGTAATTTCAGTATACAATGGGTGACATCCACGGAAAACCTTTCACACCAGTAGGAAGTTTCTCTTCCTGGTTTATTTTCTTGTGCCAAGTCACAGGTATAGCAGCAAGTGATATCTTTATTGCTGTCTGATAACTACTGGGACTCATGCAAGCTGCTTCTCTTTCACTGACAATCTTAGTGGGGACAGAGGTGGGCTGAGCCCTGTCTTTCTCACCTGTAGGAAACAGAGGTACTTAGCAATGTAATAGCCTGTCTCATCCTTGCTTGAACTGTACTGAAAGAAAAAAATAACATCCAACAATGCAGATTCAGCCCACTGGGTGCTCTGAAGCGATATAATTTTGATGTTGTCACTGACAACATTACATTAGAATCACAGTGAATCCTTCTACTTTTATAAATTTTAAAAAATTAGAAGGTTCTTAGAGGTATCTATGCACTATCTCAACAGCTAGAAAGCCAATGTGTTCCATTTGCAGCCTAAACTGAAATAAAAAAAATAATTAAGGTTTAAAAAATATTTGCAACCTGGTTCATTTTTCTGTATATCACGTATTTGACATCAGCCACAACAATTGAAAGCATTTGTGAGGTCCCATATTGTTAATCTCTGCATCTTCATCCTGAATTTTTGAAAGAACAAAACTTCCTTTGATGCAAACAAATGACACAGAGCCTGCAAGACTGGGCTTAATGCTCTGGTGGGAAAAATGCAATGTGCAGAGGAAAACTAATCTGAGGTTGTGCTTTACAAGGGAAGACAGAGTTAATATGGGCTGTGGGTCTGAGACAGAAAGACAGAGTTAATGCAAAGAAAATTGAGGTAAAAAGCTGTCTCGTGAGACATTAGGCATCTAAAGAAATGCTGCCTGTTTTGGCACAGAGGCAGAAAGAGAGGATGATGATCCAGCCCTCTAAACATGGCAGATACACATTCAGAGCACTGAACAAGGAGATGCTGATACAAAGTCAGTGTCTGCGTGAGAACTGACAGGAGACAAGCAGTACTCCTAGGGGTTAGCTTATTGCCCTTACACCTTCTACAGAGGGAAAGATACAGGGTATCTGGATCCTTTTAAAATCCTTATTTTTGGAGTGTAAAACTCCACTAAATCAGTGTAAAACTCCACTGGAATTAGTGGACTGAACACATCTCTGAGGTAAGCCCAGTCAGACACAGAGACCTCTGCAGAAAGTCCATCCTGAATGCACTGCAAGAACACGCTGTCCACAAGAGTCAGCAGCAAAGGGCTAAGCATCTCAGGGAAAGTAACCCTTTGTAGAGAGCTTCAAAGTCACTTTTTTCTCTTTGTTTTTGTCAGGTTATACACAAACTAATGTTGGAGAAGCACTGGCCGCTGTGCATGGCTCTGAATTCAGCCAAACGACTATTTGCCGGTTTGAAAACTTGCAGCTGAGTTTCAAGAACGCATGCAAACTGAAATCAATACTGTCCAAGTGGCTGGAGGAAGCAGAACAAGTAGGAGGTAGATAATTGAAATTCTCTAAATATTGATTTGCACTTAAACCAGAATCCCATATATAATGTTCAAGGACTAGTACACATCTTCCATAGACTAAAGTTTTTATTTTAACAGCTTACAATGCTAACGCGTGCTTGTATTAAATTTTAGTTATTATTTATTTGGGTGAGCAAGAAGGGGAGGGTACAGAATAGCAGAAACATCGCTTGGACTGCTGAAAGAAATCTCTTTAGTCTTATCCAGCAAGCTAACTGCAATCCTGTAGTATAGGTCAGAGCTGTTATTAGGATCTGCAGGACAGCTCATTCCTGGCAGTAGCAGTGTACACTTCACTAGCAAAGGAGTCTTCCTTCTGACCTCTGGCATATGAGATATAGCCACGGGAAAAAGGATTTGAGTTCAGCTGCAGCAGTGGTCTTTAAACCTTGAAGAAGAATAGCATGGTATAGAGTTTTTTTGTTGTGACCCTTTTGCTGCCAGAAGATGCCCTTCCTTTTTCCCAGTTAATTTCCAGTTGCAGGAGGAGTCGTGGGGTTCACTGTGCAAAAAGTACTTTAGGACAGGTTGGCTGACTTAAAGGAAGTAGTTGCCTTAAAGAACAGGTTTTTCAGCTGGATGAATAGTGATGCTGAGAAGCACTGTGCCTGGAGGTGACAGTGAAAGCCAGCACTGTCACTGTGCAGCACTTGCCAAGCATGGGAACAAAGAGAAGATTATCTTAACACTACTTTTTTGGATTTGCCATTGTATTCAACAGTAGGAAACATTGTTAAACAGCTGCTTCTGCCACATACTTCAGCTTCCTTTGAACCAAATGTAGAAAGCTTCTTTCCCCTGCAACTATGCCAGAAACCTAATGTGGCTGGTACATTGCAACAATTGCTTGTAAGGGGTCTACAGTGGGGAGTAGGTGCTGATGCCCTGAGGCAGGATGTGTGCAGGCAGTGGCCTCTGAGAAGCAAGGGGGGGACTTGTCCATCAGAAAGTGAGGTGGATGAGGCAGATGAATAAATGACATTGGGTGCCAAGGCTGTATTTCTGAAGAAGAGATGAGAAGATGAGATAACCAAGGGGTAAGGAAATGGACTTCATCTCCCTAGATCTTACCCCACAGGCAGGAGGAACAAGGTATGTCACAGGAGTGGATAAAGTACAGCTCCACAGGTGTGTAGCCACAGAGCCAGTGCTGTTTGCATCTTTACTTGGTGGCACACCATTTTTACTTATAACCATTTATCACTGGGGATAAAACAATGATCAAGCATCCTAAACAAAGAAAAGATCGTATGTGTGATTCTCCTCTTAGTCAGAAGCATTGTCTGTTAATTCTTTCTTCTCTCTTCAAAGACAGTGACTATTTTTCTGGAGATGATTGTGCTTGTTTTTCATTCCCTGTGGAATGTAACTGCCAGGTTTTGTTCTGGTTTTTAATACAGCTTTATACAATGAAAAGGTTGGAGTAAATGAACGGAAGAGGAAGCGCAGAACCACCATAAGGTAATAATTATTTAGGGCATTGCATGTTAGAAACCACTTTGGCTAAGATGCTTCTTTTTCTTCTGTTCAAAATCAAAGTGTTATTTTCTATTAGTGAATACCTACAGCTGTTGTTTCTAAAAATTTCACTATTTTGAAACATTCCAGTGAAAAATAACAGCACAACCCTCCAGACCCACAATTCATTCCAAAGATACTACTTTTCCTAATCAAAGACTTTTTTCAGCAACCCACTTGTATATAAAAAGATATGTTATTACAATTCTGTCAAAATTTTATTATTTCTGTATAATGAGTTAGGTATCAGAGCACCCTTGTTTTCATTTTGGGAGGTTTTTACATCAAAATTTATTTATTATACCTAAATAATGCAATTCATAAGCTGAGACAGGGGAGATTTAGATTAGCTATAATGAATTTTTTTTTCACTTATAGAGTGGTCAAGCATTGGAATAGATTGCCCAGGGAGGTGGTGGAGTCACCATACCTAGAAGTGTTTCAGAGTCATCTAGATCTGGTGCTGAAAGATATGGTTTAGGGTTTAAAGGTTATAGCAGAGTGGCAGGTTAATAGTTGGACTTGATGATCTTGGAGGTCTCCTCTGGCCTTGATGATTCTATTATTCTATGAATAAATAAATATAAATTTTGATATAATAGAAAAAACATATGAATTTGCTAGAGAACTGTGATCTTTCACAGATCTCAAACTTCCAGTTTGAGGGAAAGCTTTTACATGTAATATTGCATCCCTGTCCCTATCCCCTATCACCAGATTTTTCAAAGTTCCCAAAGAAACACTTTAATGATTTAAAGGGAATAAAGGGAGTTGTTCTGGGAACATCCTCTTGTTTCTCATGCCTGTAGTGGCCAACATCTACCATTTATCTAGCCTTCACTCCCTATGGAAATCAAGTAGGCTGGCCAATCATAATTTACCAAAAAGGTAAAATGACAGTATGGGGGTACTTCCTTCTCCTTTAGATATCCCAGACTCTTGTAACCTTTGTTAAAGTTGAATTCAGTCAGGTGGCATCTAAGGAGCTTTAGTATTCTTCTACAGGAAGGGAATTTGACTGCCTCTGAGCATAACTCTGGTGCTGTTGGGCCCCACCAGTTGTAGTTAACTGTCTCTTCCTTGAACAGGGATCAGTCCTGATGTGCAGTGCAACCTCACAGAGATGTAGGCAGCTCTATTTTCTCACAGCCATACCATGTACCTTTTCCTCTTGCATTCAGCTTAAGATTTATTTTTTGAGTCATAGGATCATAGAATGGTTTGTGTTGGAAGGAACCTTTAAGGATTATCTAGTTACCAAACCTCCATCATGGGCAGGGACACCTTCCACTAGACCAGGTTGCTCAGAGCCCCATCCAACCTGGCCTTGAACACTTCCACGGGTGGATCATCTACCACCTCTCTGGGCAACCTGTTCCAGTGTTTCACCACCCACATGAGAGTCATGAGAGCAGAGTAGAATGGGAGAGTCACTTCTTTCAACCCTTTGATGTAGTCCAGGACATGGTTGGCTTTCCAGACTGCAAGTGCATGTCGCTGGTTCATGTGCAGCTTTTCATCCACTGATATCCCTTAAGCCTTCTCAGGGCTCCTTTCAATCCTTTCATGCCCCAGCCTATATTGATATTGGGGATTGCCCCAACCCAGGTGCAGGACCTTGCATATGGCCTTGTTGGGCCTTATGAAATTCCCATAGGTCCACTTTTTAAGCTTGTGCAGGTCCCTTTGGATGTCATCCTGTGCTTCAGATGTGTCAACCACACCACTCAGCTTGGTGTCATCAGCAAAGTTGCTGAGGGTGCACTCAATCCCTTTGGCTATGTCATTAATGAAGATATTAAATAACACTGGTCCCAACATGTACCCTGGAGAGACACCACTTGTCACTGATGACCACTGGGGCCCTGAGTCATTGACCACTACTCTCAGGATGCTACCATTCAACCAGTTTCTCATCCACCAAACAGTCCACCCATCAAATCCAATTTAGAGAGGACGCTGTGGGGAAGCATTTCAAAAACCTTATAAAATTCCAGATAAATGACATCTGTAGACTTTCGCTTGTCCACTGATGGAGTCACTCCATTGTAGAAAGCCACTAGGTTGGTCAGGCAGGACTTGCCCTTGGTGAAGCCATACCGAATCACCTCCCTGTCCTCCACGTGCCTTAACATAGCTTCTAGAAGGATCTGTTCCATGATTTTCCCAAGCACAGAGGTGAGGCTGACAGATCGGTAGTTCCCAGGGTCCTCTTTTCTACCTTTTTTAAAAATGGGCGTAATGTTTCCCTTTTTCCATACGCTGGGCACTTCACCTGGCTTCCATGGCTTTTCAAATATCACGGAGAGTGGCTTGGCAACATCTGCCAAATCCCTCAGAACTTTGGGATGCAATCATACTGCCCTTGATATAACGAACAAAATAACTGTTATTTCTCTCTGACTTTTGAATTAAGTATTCCTTTGAAGGGATGCTTCTCAATTAGGAGTGAATTTGGGAGGGAAAGTGCTTCACAGCTCATCTCAGCATCTCACAAGGGATGAAGCTTTGCCCTTAAAAGGCTAGTTTCTCCTCTCAGCTTCTCTACAGGCCAATAAGGACTTGAGCATCAGTGCCAAGACCTTGCCCAGTTTGTGCAGTATGGACTGCATGAGAGCTGTGAGTTGAGAGCATCTCTATCCTGGTTGTTTTCCCCTGGCTGGAGGAACCCACTGGAGACTGATCATCTAACATTGTGGGGTTTGGTGGTGTTTTTTAACAAGTATTGAAAAAATCAGTCCTCATATTAAGCATTTTTAAATTATTCCTGCTTTTGCATCTTACTCTGATGCACTGGGAGTATCAAATCTGGCAGGTTGTCAAGGGCACAGATAACTGAAAAGATTGAGACTGTCTAGTAAGAAAATATTAATTACTCCTTTGAAGTCATATAGGACCTCAGTTTAAGGACCTGAAACTAAACAGGGAGATGGGTTTATTTGAACCATGTACCCTTACTCTTAGCCATTCTTTTTGAGTGTTTAAAGGCAAACTAATGGTAAAACAAAAGTACCATAAACTAAATTAGATTAGTCATACCCAGAGACTACTTAATTTGAATTTGTGGAAACTATTTTATTTTATACTTTGCTCAAAGCTTAAGAAGAAGCTGTTAGTAAAAATAATGATGTTTCTCTACTTCTGTGTGTGCAGATAGTTTTGGTAACATTAGAAAATATTGCAAAATTGACCTGTAAATGAAAGATCAACAACATAACACAGATGAAGTAATGAAATAACTAGAACTCCAGCGGATACTGTGTGTATTTCTGCAGAAGAAATAACTGCACTTCACCTCCAGAATAATGCATGAAGTGCCCTCTTGTGTCCAAAGAAATTACAGCTACTGGCGAAGCTGTTCTGGATGCGTCCCCGGTGGCACACGAGCAGGTCGCAGGTGCTCCGTGTTTTCTGAGAATATGCAACACAAACGGAAAGCAAATTCTATCCGACAATAAGAAAAAAATAATAGTATTAAATGATTTTGTTTAATGAACCACTGAACCTTGGTCGCTGCTGACTCTGAGGAATAGATTAAGGCAAAGTTTTGGAAAACGTGATGATTGCTAAAACAGCTTGCCATAGTCTCTGTGATTTCTAGCCATACTCTAGGGCTCTCTCTACAACAAAGTGAGATGCAGAACTTGACATAACACACAGCAGTTCCCAATCATAAATGATGGAGCTGTTCTCCAGTATAAACCCAAATGATTTGATACAACTGCGTAACCCCACTGATGTGCATTTGCTGAACCCCTACAACACAGCTGTGACTGGGGCAGAATAGGTGGTCAGGCTTGTTCCAATTCCTGTGACTCTGTTAATGACAAGCTAGCAGCTGTATCTCCTAGATGACCTCAGGGAGAACAAATATTCTATGACTGACACTGAATTTGCACTGAACTTGAAGCTAGTTCTGCCTTTTACTCTGTGCTGAAATTCTGCACAATGTCATGCTGTTCATGTCAGCAAAGAACTACAAGGTACTTTTAGTGGTAAGAGCCTGAATGTACAGGAAAGTTTTTAAAGGTGAAATTTTATCCCTTTACCCAGTATCGCTGCCAAAGAAGCCCTAGAAAGACACTTTGGAGAACAAAGTAAGCCTTCTTCTCAGGAAATTATGAGGATGGCTGAGGGGCTCAATCTTGAGAAAGAAGTTGTGAGAGTTTGGTTTTGCAACAGAAGACAAAGGGAAAAGAGAGTGAAGACAAGTTTACATCAGAACGCCTTTAGTTCTATTATCAAGGAGCATCACGAATGCCGGTAAAGCTTTTCCATGTACAGACGTGGATTTTTGTTTTGCTTTTAGTACATATTGTAAATAATATGTTGTTGGGGGGGCAGGGGGGAGGGAAGTGAGAAGAGAAAAATCAGTAAACCACTTGTTTCTGTTACAAGCTAGCCAGCTTCAGATGTAGTGTTTTGTAGAAGACCTCATTTTAATATAAAAGGTTGGAAACAAATCCTACAGCATGTACTTAAAGAGCTGCAGATTTCTGCTTAACTGCAAGGAACATATAATGCATTATTCAACTAGAAATGTTTTCCAAGTTTCACAAGTAGTTGCAGCTTGCCTGTGCTGTGCCTTTCTTGCATCTGTGGTACATTTAGTGATTAATGGAGAACCCCACGTAGGTGTCCTAAGCGTCCAGAAGTGAAGACTTTGTGCTGTGCGTGAAGAAAGGCTGAAAAGCTTGATATCAGCAGCTATTGTATTGAAAGTATTTTGCCTCTGCATGTCTATGCACATGCTTTATTTTACCTCCTCCCCAGTCCCCATGCTAACCTTGGTGAGATCATAAGCCATTAGGCACATGGCAGGGTCCCATCTCCAGTGGTGAGCACTTAGCATCAGTGAGAAATGAGAACTGTAAGAGAAGGTGAATAAGTGACCTTAAACAAGCAGTGGTGATACTGCTGAGTTATGACTAAGGATGGGATCTGTCTTTCCAAAGAATGGTTCAAACTCAGCTACCTGCTTACAACTGTACACCTCTGACTGAATCATTTCAAGTAAATTTCTTGTGTAAGTTCAGGACAAAGCCATTCGAAATGTGCCATAATTCCTGCCATTATTTATGGTAGAGTAAGCTTACCAGTACAGAGGTGTCAATACTGCTCCTACTGTGTGCTCTCTTCCAGTGTAACATTTGACTGCCTTAAATGGGTGCCAAGTAGAAGTGACCTTTTTAATACTTGTTATCAAAGGTAATTCTTACTAACTTGTTAATGTGCCTTAAAGTTTGATTTGGATAGGCTTAGCTATAAAAACAGGGATAGAATTCACCTTACCCTAAGACTCTGTGACCTGAGGGGAAAAAATAATTATCAGGGGTTTTATTACATTGGGCTTTCTCTGCACTGTACTTTTTCTCTGATTAAAACCATGTGTGGACATAGTTACACCAGAGATCTAAGATCTAAGCTAAAAAAGGGCAGCCCTCACACTCTGAATTGTCCACACAAAGCTTTTCTTGCACAGCACATTCCTACCCTCTCACACCCCACTATTTGAAAATAATCACTTACTTAACATTCTCTAGCCTAGAGAGAGAATTGAGGGGAAAAAAATACCAGTGCCAGAGCTCCACCTAAATGACAGGCACTGAGAAAACTGAACTCGTGGCTGCAGTACTCACCAGGGATAGATTATCCATCCATCTAATCAGCCCTGGTCATGGTTATTGGAATTAGCCCATTACCATATATATATTTTTGATTGTTTTCCCAGGACTGAACTTAAGCGAGTACATGCAGTACTGGCCAGATATATTTTATTTTTCCATAAAACAGACCTGATGATTTAGAAAATGTCTAGATAAGAGGCCCACAGAAAGCAAAAAGAGTTTAACATTCAAGACCACTTAGAAGCCGTGTGTACAAGTTAAGTGCTTGCTCTTTAGTGCATGTTAAATTATCTCTGATAGGTATTGCAGTGACCATAGGCATATTCAGCTATAGAAATCAGGCTCCTGGATTTAAAATAAACCAAACAACACAGCATTTTTATGGATGAATGCACCACTATAAGGGCTTAATTTAGAAGAAAACTTCAACTCAAAGGGGAGAAATTGTGCTATGTACTCTCTTCAGGCTGTTCTCATCACTAACGTATCACCCACTACAGCAGAGAAAGACGAAGCTGTAGACTTTATCCACCATGTGTAACAACAGATCATGAACTTGCCAAAAGGATGATAAATACAGTTAAGAAGATTAGTGCTCTGCAAAAATGTCGCCATGTTATGTGATCTAATATTATGTATGTTGAAACTACTATCTGATATATATAAACTTTATTTATATTATAAATTATTTTATTTTAAAAGGCTTCTTGGAAATGCTATAAGCCTGTATTTCCCAACCTCCCCATCCAATAAAGTATTCTTATGCATTTGGCTCTCCAGAAAACGGTTTGTAGTTCCATTTTGGTAACACTCTCCCTTTTCAGCTGTGTATCATGCTGAAGTGCTTATGCATTTTAGCATGCTGTAATGGTCAGTTCAAGAGCAGCCTTACCGTAATGTGGTGGTTTCTTGTCCTACACAAAGTCCCACAAGTGAAGGCTAATTGCAGGAACAGAGCAAAATAAAATGAAAGGTGACCTATAACACCATTTTCTTGCAAAAGAATGGCAAAAGACCAAGTGGGGGAAGCAGCCACCATTTGAACACATCTAGCTGTTGCTACAGAAATGCAAACAAATTAGAGCAGAATTGTTTAAACAAAGTTGGATGAAATCAACTTCAAGTACTGCAGCTGCAGTCATTACTTACAGAAAGTGGTAATTCTTTTTTTTTATATAGTAACAACTTAATTACCATCAATCACCCTTGATTGAGGCAAAAACACCCTAGAAAAGACTTCTGAGGGGTAGCTTATAAACCTGCAAGAGTTCAGTTGGCCATGCAGCTAAGATGGGCTGTACCATTTTTCTTTGAGGTATTTGTGGAGGGTTTTTTTTCTTGCTCTTCTTTTCCCATGGTAACCCTTGGCACGGTGTTAAAACCACAACAGAGTGCAAACAAGGCGTTACCACAATATCAATCTGTGGTTCACCTGTCTCCAAAGTACTGTGTAGTATGTCCCTCATCTGAAGGACATAACAGACCTAGCATAAGCTCCTATACAGGCAAAGTTGCTGATCAAAGGTAAGATGAGTAACTGTTGAAGCTACGGTCTCTCTGCTAGACTTCATGTGTGTGCATTGAATGTTATAAAGGTCTACTGAATTATGAGCTGTACTGTAAAGGCTAGATGAAGGCAGACTGCTCACCATCTTGCCTAATGTAAGAACCAGGAGTAAATACGTGAGGCTGGAAAGAAGCTTAAGGAAAAAAAGAAGTGATGGTTCTTAATGTGGCTGGGGAAAAAAATCTGTGGAACTCCTCTACTAAACCATGTGGGTACCATAAGTTTATTGATAAGGACAAGTTCTCAGATGAAAAAGCCACTCAAAGCTATTGTATGTAGAACTTGCATATGGCTCTGGAAGTGTTCCACATTGAAAATAGTTGGAGATTGAAAGTGTATTAGGGGAGAAAGTGGTATCTGTGTTTATCTCATTCTCATTATGTTCCTGGGCATTGCTTCTGAGCACTTATGGAGTTGGATTCTGGTGAGATGGACCTCGCTCTGCCCCCATAGAACCATTCTTAGGTGTGTGCACAACTGCATCATCGTTCTTGGATGGAGGACATTCAGATTCAGTTGCTACTAAAGTGTTTCCAAGGATAAAGGAGTTTAAGGATTGAGCTGGTTGGTTGTTGTGGGTTTTTTGTCTGTTAAGAGTGATTTAAAAGGAATTTGTTTCTAAGTAGGGGATGCCATCTTGTTATAGACAGATACAAGACACTAACTGTAATTGAAAATATATAAGCAATGCTGCAAATCTCAACACTTCTCACTTTGCTATTGGAAGATCTTTATGCAGATTGGAGCTGCAGGACTTAAATTGTAACTTTTAACACTGGATTGATATTGACAGTAGCCCTAGTTCAGCACCAAAAAGCAATGTCTTTATTCCTGTTCATCAAAGGCCTATAGAGGAAAGAACTCGTGATAGAATTATGCCCAATTTTGACAGCCATTAACAGGATAAAGTGCACACGTCATTCAGAAAGGATATAAGCCTTAGCGTTGAACCAAACTACAATCAATCAGTAATATTTTATATACCTAACTAATTTCACATTATAATTTGTCCTTTGATACCTAAGAGCAATACTTGGCACCCAGTTACAGACAAGAGAATGCAAAATTGAAGAAGTCCTTACTGCATGTTGAGTTTAAGACAAAAGGCCCACAAACAACTAGAATAAATATTATGGTACTTTATAGCTCAAGTCAAAGGAATATTTAGCAGAGCTAAGAGGAGTACAAAGAAAGACCACTAAGAGACAAATGTGTAAGACTAACACTACAGAGGACAAAGGCATTGTGGAATAAAAAGCCTTTTATTAGATCTTTACAAAATAACTTGTAAAAAAAAAAATCACCTTGTATTGAATATTTGCAATATATTAACTTACACATTCCTACCCACTACCTGGCAGGTTCATGGTTTGTCCATTATTTCCTTGAAAGAGAAAGAATATCTGCATTTCTATGCCAAAAATCCAAGGAAAGTTCACCTACAAATTTTCTTTCTCTGCTGACTTCAGTCCTAAACAGCAGATGGTATGTCAACAGTAGATTCATTGAGGTTTCCTGCTACACCTTCTCTAGCAGCAGAGCCTCTTTAGAAAGTTTGTCCCCCCACAATTAACATGGTTTCACTATTGGGAGGTATTTTGCTTTTTGCTTTTTCAAGCCAAGATGATTGTTTTTGTTCAATAAACAGCTCCACTAAATCAGCACAACTGATGGGCAAGTAGTCTCCAGCAGAGTCAGGGCTGAGGAATATCACAACATCTGGGAAGTCATAACTGGGAACTGCATTCTCCAATTTTGTCATCTATTTAAAATATCAACAGTTCTTACTTCATTATCCCAGTACACATTCCACTTAATGCCAGAATCATGTTGAGGCAGCTCAGAGACAATAGGAAAACCTCTGCAGAACCAGAACACTTTTATTATAGTGTTTAGACAAGTAATTATAATTTATGACCCAAAATTGTTCTCAAAACTAAAATTTAGATTTAGCTTATCAATGTGATCAATTGCATCTTAGTAAACAATACAGTTATGCACAGTTATCTTCCATTAAGAAATACTGTAAAATATATACAAATGTTGCTTCAGGCAAATGTCCATTTTTGCAAGTGTACAAGTTGCATTTCTGAATGAGTGCATTTCTCAGCTTCAGCACTGAGTCCCATCCATCAAGGGTTCAGAGAGGTCTCACCCTAGCATTTTGTGAAACCACCTTAATTACAAGTTGACTCACCTTTCAAAGACTCATTCTGAAAAAAAAACCTCACAAAGGTACAAGATTTATATACATAAAGGCACAGCAATTCTGTTGAAACCAGCTATGTTACAGTACAATAGAGTTCAATCAGTGCCTTTCATGCAACAAAGTTCACTAACAAACATAAATCCTCTTCCAGAAAAATTAACTGCACAAGGACTGTATCCTTCCCAGTAAGAAGAATAACCAGCCACTATTTAATCAACTCAAAAGTTGCTACAGGAATTTGAAACAAGTATCTAAAATGCTTTCTTCTTTCTGCCTCAATTTGCTAGTCTTTCAAGGCTATTTCTCATGGAAAAAATAGTTTGTAACTAAGAGCAAAGGTGAATTTTAATTTGTGCTAAGGTGACAGACTAAGAATGATTTTATAGCAATAGTTTTATAAAAATGATAAATATTATTACATAGGTGCTATTCTAGGAGGTGGCGTCATCAGCCACAGAATAGCCAGTCCTAGAGATAAATCAGGAACTGACCTAGAAGAAATTTTTGGATACAGAGGACAGATTTGGATAGGGTAAATGAATTGACCCCGGGTCCAGAGTCAAAACGACTCCATGCAAGGGACATACCAACTGCTCCTCTCTCTCTGTGAATTGATTAAAATATTCTCTCCTTCTTCTGCCCCCAGTACCAAGTTGCAATTTCCAAAGCTTCAGAGCTTTCCTAGAAATCAGTTGCATTGAAAGAGCATTTGCACTTTGTACATCTGTCTACAGCTGAATAATTAGAAGGCAGATGTTAAATTGCCACCAAGCTAATCAACTCCCAGAGCTTTGAGCTGTCGTTCAATCTCTTCATCTGATATGGTTGCAGCATTTGATGTTGATGCAGATGGTAAGCCTCTGGCAGCTGATGGAGCCTTGGCCATCTAGAAGACAGAAGTTCACTTCAGCCATTGTAACAGAGGTTATGACAGGCTGACTTTTAGAATAAAACTGTAAAATAAAGTCTGCTAGAATAAACTATTTTAAAAAATCAAATTAAGGGAAGGAAGCACACATACTAAATAAAAATAGCCATACCTTGCCAGAGATTTCAATTCCAATTTCATCCAGCACTTGATTAACAATATCTTGGCTTTCTTCCTCTTCATCAGAAGCATCAAAAATATCATCCAGAGTATCATTAACTTAGAAGAAAGACAAAAAGGTTAACCACAATGCACTGAGCAAAAAGGTAACTAGCATAGCCTAGTACCACTTTTCTACCCATCCAGGAACAAGAAACTTGCCAACTCCCCAATAAGTTGTTTGTGGTTTAAAATAAAAAATAAGGAGACAAAACCATCTCATACCACCATGTCCATAAAGCTGAGACTTTCAATAATACCTAAATTAAGTGTCCACTTAAGGCAATTGCTCAAGTCCTTCTCCCAGTTATGCCAACAAGGTTTTGAACTGGTCTCAAACCCTCTTCCCCTCTACTATGCTTGTACTAAAAGTATGACAAGGCAAGAAGATGGGAAGGAATAGATTCTAGATTTAATACCTAGAGCTTCTAAAACACTTAAGACTCAGCCTTCCTGTTCAGACATACACTGTTTTGTTTAATTTTCATTTTTGCTGTCAGTCTCATTAACTGTAGAAATAAAACTTAGAGCATCAGTATTTCTAGACTGATTCTACCCTTCCAAGAGCACTGTGGGCTGCACTTAGCTGTTCTGTGTAGTGCAGAACTTACTCATTTCTTCAGTCATTTCCATCTTCATGTTTTCCTTCTGGAAGTTTTGCATAGTTTGTAGTGTCTTTTGTGGATCCATCTTCTTATTAACTGTTTGCATTGTCTATTAACATGGAAAAAACCTCTTAATCATACAATGCGACATTAGTAAATACCAATATATTCATTAAGAAGGAATAGGAGTTTTCTAATAAAAATGTATTAGTGCAAATTTCACTTTCCTTGTCTCTTTACATCCTGTGAGAACTGTAGTTACATGACAGGTTAATTGTAGAGTCTGCACCTAGTAAGAAATATTGCTATCAACTACCCTAATAGATCTAGTAAGAAATATTGCTGTCAGCTACCCTAATAGACATACTTTTAAATGTCTGCATTTTTCTTGCACTGTGACCCTCTCCTGGCCTTATATTAGGAAAAATCTGACCAATCTGAATGAAAAGAATGGGAGAACGTTTCCTAACTTGAAGGCTACACACTTTAAAGAAGTAATTGGCTGCAGGTTCATATTCAGAAAGGAACATTTATTCGAACCACTGCTAGAGGACAGGTCTTAAATGGTTTCTTTATGTTATAATTTGATGGAAAAATTACTTTTATCTGAAATGCAAATATTGAAGTGTTAAAGCACAAAGCAGCTTAGGGTGAACCCTTGTGATGGGTAGAGATCTTGCTGTGACAGTGTAATGAACTTCACCCATTTTACTACAAGTACACAGCACTGCCTTTGCAAGCACTGGTATATAATACTTTCCTATTTCCTAAGAAGCAAACTACTGTATCTCTCCTGGGATGTCAGAACCTAAATATAGACACGAGCAATTCAAACATAAAATTTAACCATCTTTGAGAAGATAAAAGAGTTGACTAATTAAAAGGGATTTTATCAAGCTATTACAGCCACTACTGGCTTCACAGAAGCTCTTCTGCCTTCATGTCTGAGTGGTGTTCAAAGCAATAATGTATTATGCTTCCAATGTTACTTGAATTTCAGAGACTGTGTTCATTGTCACATTATTTAAAAAAGTTGTTCTGGACTTAAAGGGTGTTAGTTCTTTAGAATTCTCTTATAAGAGTTATAGATGGACATCAAAATTACCTGCACTGATACAGAGTTTATATCTCTTCAGAAAAATAAGGGTCAGATGCATGACTAAAAGTAACAGATAACTTAATTGGACTTTACTATGTCCGTAATTAGTGCCATACATGCTAAGAAGTACACTGAAAATACTTTGAAAGCTTGGCGTTCATGTTTGCCTTGCGTGTTGAGGCAACTGATCCCACATATTTTTCACTGATGGTTTTATGAGATTAACAACTGAATACTTTTCTTTGAGCTTCCTACATTGATAAGAAACTGAAGATTTTTCTTTGAGCTTCCTACATTGATAAGGCAAAATAGCCACTTTAAAAGTGACCGAAAGAATGTAAGGCTTTCCTCTCCAATAATGTTACACAAACTAGTCCCAGAAGTACCTGCTGTGTTTCAAAAAACATAATTTTTTCCAGATGCTGGTTAAATAATTTTTAAAATATTTGGTGGGGTTTTTTTCTACTGACTTAATCTTCATAATTAATCTAGTGACACTCTGGTTTTGAGATATTTAATCCAAGACGTATCATAGATAAAAAAAAGTAGTAATTTTAAAGCAAGACCAACTTGTTCAGAAGAACACTTGTAGGAATTCTGAGTAAGCTGCTGAACTTGGTCAGACAAGTTCCCTTTGTAAGTCTGGTATGGAGCCACAGCTGTGTATCACTAAACCACTGCTACCTGCCCACGTGCTGCTTCTAAAAGACACCTGACTGCAAAGCCTCAGTGGTAATTACTTTCTGCATTAAATTGCATTGCATAGCTGTATTTAACTGGCAGAGAACTGGATTTAACCTGGACTGGGATAAAAGCACAACTTGGTCTACAACGTCGGCTTAATTCTGTCTCCTACACCTCCAGCCGAGCAATCCTCCTTGCCAACAGCAAACTCACTCTTTATCAACCCAGGGAAATAGAGGAAAATTCACAACTAACTCAGATAACTGAGATTTTTCACACTCTTTTAAGAGATGAGATTTGTGAGAGAACTTAATGCAATACTATTTCCTTAGAGAGCACAAAGAGAATGACAGAGAACTTCAGATTAGATTTCTTTAGGAACTGAAGATCTAAAGCAATAACCTACTTTTTGCACAAGCCATACAAATACTGTGACACACTGCCTTGATTTCTAGATGAACCATTGCCCTACTTCTTCCTAATAAAAACTGCTTGTGACAATGTATGCAGGCAAGACCCTGTAGCAGCATGATTTGGAATTTTTTTTGATGTACTAAAATAGCTCTTCCACTGGCATTAGTTTATTTTTATCATGCAAACATTTGACACATGTCTAGCCCAAGAAAGTATGCTTAGTTAGGTGCTGTGGCTGGGTTGACTGAATAAAAATTT